GCCGGTGACCATACCGTCCGTAACGGTCAGACGAGCTCCGGTCGCCTGTGATCCCGTCACCGGTGGTAAGTTTTCTCCATCTTCTACGGTTCTACCGAAATGTAGCCATTTGTTTTTCTCTGTTTGAAAAAAAATGCCGTTTTAGGAATTTACACAAATGCCATCCTCGCCGGAGCTCGATTCTGCCTAACGACGGGTGGTTTTTTGAGGTGGAGGAATTTCTAATTTTCATGTACTTTTTCGAAAACTTAAAAATATTAGGAATGCGTCATCATTATAAAGCTGTGATTAAGTACTATTTTTTATTAGAGGGGCGAAAATACTTGTGAACTGTTAAAATCAGAAAATGTTTTTTTGCAATTGTACTTGAAAATTCATGGAGTTATGTAAAATTTATAGTTACTTAATGAAGTGATCTAAAAGCTCTTACCAGTTTTTAGACATCGTTGTAATTTAATGAATTTATCTACGTTCTTGCACTAATTTTGTAGAAGATAACAGGAATTATTTAAAATTTATTCTATTTTTAAAAAAAATTAAAATCCAAGTTTATATTATTTTATTCATTAATAATTTATAATATTTGAAAATTTAACTTATGATAATATTATTAAATTAGAATAAATTTTCACTGTAGACCCAAACTAAATTTTAATTACAAAAATCGACCGATTTTTTTTTTAATTACCAAAATCGACCTGTTTTATACCACGTAGGCTTAATCCAGTTTCCTAATTAGTCGGGGTTGCCAACCCGACTGTTTAGGAGTTGTTAAACTCCGATTAGAAGCTTTAAAATCCGGTTTAACAATTCCTAAACAGTCTGGTTGACAACCCGACTAATTAAGAAACTGGATTACGCCTACGTAGCATAAAACGTGTCGATTTTGATAATTAAAAAAAAAACGTTCTATTTTAATAATTAAAATTCCGTTTGTGTCTACCATGAAAATTTGTATTAAATTATCGGTCACTATTATTTTCTCTTCTCTTTTACCGAGCTATCACAAATTTGGAAACACTTTAGGGATTCGAGAACCCACTTTATTTACCGTTCGTTGTTTATTTTTGTCCGGACTTAGCCAGCTTGCGTCAGAGTCTAATCAATGTGGGTCTGCTTCGCGATGCGTCATTTTTCAACAGGAGCATGCGGTAACGTTACCGCCTGAGTATTATTTTTCTTGGCCCGTCAAAATCTTTTGCGTGTTGGGTATGGC